AAAGTCGCCAGTTCTCAGCTTCCAGCTCCACAGATTACTCCGCGTACTAAAGTTGTACTACAAAGTCGCCAGTTCTCATCTTCCAGCTCCCCAGATACTCCGCGTACTAAAGTTGTACTACAAAGTCGCCAGTTCTCAGCTTCCAGCTCCACAGATTGCTCCGCGTACTAAAGTTGTACTACAAAGTCGCCAGTTCTCATCTTCCAGCTCCCCAGATACTCCGCGTACTAAAGTTTTACTACAAAGTCGCCAGTTCTCATCTTCCAGCTCCCCAGATACTCCGCGTACTAAAGTTGTACTACAAAGTCGCCAGTTCTCATCTGCCAGCTCCCCAGATACTCCGCGTACTAAAGTTGTACTAGAAAGTCGCCAGTTCTCAGCTTCCAGCTCCACAGATTACTCCGCGTACTAAAGTTGTACTACAAAGTCGCCAGTTCTCAGCTTCCAGCTCCACAGATTGCTCCGCGTACTAAAGTTGCACTACAAAGTCGCCAGTTCTCATCTTCCAGCTCCCCAGATACTCCACGTACTAAAGTTGTACTACAAAGTCGCCAGTTCTCATCTTCCAGCTCCGCAGATACTCCGCGTACTAAAGTTGTACTACAAAGTCGCCAGAGGGTTGCGCGCACAGCCGGCAGATCGCACTCTCGCCTGTATTTCGCGCACTCGACACGCACGATCTCCGCAGAGGGTTGCGCGCGCAGCCGGCAAATCGCACTCTCGCCTGCATTTCGCGCACGCGACACGCACGATCTCCGCAGAGGGTTGCGCGGGCACCCGGCGAATCGCACTCTCGCCTGCATTTCGCGCACTCGACACGCACGATCTCCGCAGAGGGTTCCCTAAGGATCCGAGAAGCCACTTTTAAAAATAGCTTCTGGTGGAAGCTAAGATTTTAGGCTGGCAGCCATGGAAAGTGGCTTCTGGGTTTTGAACTCTAGAAGCTACAAAAAGTGGCTTCTGCAAATCAGCATGTGCATCTTTTTCCTTGGCACTACTGGGTGATACAAGGTGAAACATATTGTACCTATGGTTGCATGGCCTTCTTTCAGGCTGAAGCTGGACATCGGATTTGGGCCTTCTTCAGGCTGAGCTGGGCAAGTTGACACTCAGAGGGGGTGTGTCATTCATGAAACAAAGGAGGATTTTCTCTGCTTCACTGCTTGCATTTCTCTTCCCACCCCTTCTGAGTGCCCACTGCTGCATGGAGGATGCAAATGTTTCATCCCTATAATTCCAGAAATCCTTAGGGTTGTGGCCTTCCCAGGCTAAATCAAAAATATGCTCAGCCAAGTGCCACTTAGGCTTGGCATGCCAGGAACAAACATCATTTTCATCTTCTCTTTGAATGTGAGATTCCAATGCCATGTACTGGCTCTTCAATGCCCTTCCATATTTGGCCAGCTTCCTGCCATTGAAAGCTTCCATGTGCTGATAGACTTGGGTGGTGAAGGTGGCAACTTTGTGGATTGCCTTTTGCAGGCTGGTGCCTGTGTCAAAATTGTGTGCACTTGTCAAAGTGCTCAAAATCCCCTGCCTGCAGAAATACCTGCATGTCGCTGCTTTAGTGTCAAGTTCAGGGGCCTTCCCAGGCTTTACAATGTCAAGCAGAGTGAGTTTGGGCAATTGCTCACTGGCTGGGACACCCAACTCTGAGTAGATAGTCTGGATATGTGCCCACAATCTGCTTGCTTTTTCTTGCTTCTTCCCTTCATAGCAGGGCAACAAAGCGTTCAAAACTTGCCCTGCACAGGCTGCACCACATCCTTCATCCATGACATGCATCCAATCAGGGACTATGGTGTGGTTGGTAATTGGGTTCACATGGAAAAGTGGTGCTATGGCCTTTTTTCTCAATTCCAGGCTTGCCAGAAATTGGGCCTTGTCCAGGCTTTGGCTCTTTCTCTGATCTAATGTTTGGCATCTCCACTCTGTTGGCTTGCAGGAGCACAGCCAACACATTCCTACTTTGACATTGTGCATAGGACAGCCATACCATTTTACATTCCAATCCCAATCTCCTCGCATCATAACTACAACAGCCTTGCACAGGCTTTTGCCAATTCTTGTCAATCGAAAAGGTTCTTCGAAAGGAGCCCCATCATGCCTTAATGCAGGCTGCATTCCCAATACCAAATGTTGCAGGCTCCAAGCAAGAACTTCCAAGATGGCCTGTGTGGTCTCTGGCCCTGCAATGAATTTGGCATCAACACAAGTAAGGGGGACTCTCAATTGTGAATGCCTTGAGGCCAAGAGGTTGACCGTGATGAAATCCAAGCTAGATTGATTCATTCTGCCTTGCACAGGCACTCCATCACCATGAATACCTAGAGGCACCATGCCTTGTGCAGGCTCACCACAATCTGCACAGCATTGGGCCAACTTTGTGGCCAGCATTGAGCCTCTTTCAGGCATACAATCTTGCCATGCTCCTGGCTGCATCAAATAGCCTTCCAACCACTCATGGGGAAGCAAGAATGGCAATGGCTTGGGTGATATTTCTTGTGTTTTTGGATTTTTTAATGGTATGTTTGCCCAATACAATTGACACCATGTGTTGTTTTTTTTGAGCCACCTCCTCATCGACCTGGCTGCATTGCCACCTAGTGCAGCATCTTCATTGGCCTTGTTCAGGCTTTGGCTGGTTGGTGCTTTGACCCTGAGGCCACCAGCTTTGGCTTTGGTGAGCATTTTCACCACTTTTGTGGCTGGGAGCTGGTTTCTCCTATGCAAGGATTCAATTTCTTCGACCAATTCCTCTTGGTTTTTCAATTGGTCTTCTGCACTAGGAGAAGCCCAAACAGCCTCTGCCAAGCAAATCTTGGCTTTCTTCTTAGGTGATGCAAAGGCCTTATCCAGGCTTGACAACAGCAACCATAGGAAAAACTTGAAAGCACCCATGCTTGAGCTAAAGATGGCTGCAGATAAAAAAATATCATACATCTAGAGCCACCAATTTTCATTAATTAGTCCCCTATTCTCCCCTACCCCCACCACCCAAGTCCAGCTCTTTTTTTCATCCTGCTGCCATCCAGCTGTACAGGCCTTGCACAGGCTGCTATCCAATGCCAGTGCTTGTTCAAAGC